TGGAACTTGTCCTGTTAAACCGCTGTATGGTCTTGGCCACTGTGCTGCAGCTCAGTTTCAGGGTCTTGGCAATCTTCTTATAGCCTAGGCCATCTTTATGTAGAGCAACAATTCTTTTTTTCAGATCCTCAGAGAGTTCTTTACCATGAGGTGCCATGTTGAACTTCCAGTGACCAGTGAGTGAGAGAGATAACACCAAATTTAACACACCTGTTCCCCATTCACACCTGAGACCTAGTAACACTAAAGAGTCACATGACACCGGCGAGGGGGGAAAATGGCTAATTGGGCCTAAATTGGACATTTTCACTTAGGGGTGTACTCACTTTTGTTGCCACCGGTTTAGACATTTATGGCTGTGTGTTGAGTTATTTTCAATTTATTGTTTTTTTTTAAGTCTTCCATTTAATGTAGAATTGTCTGTGTTTAACTATACTGATAAATCAGCATGTCCACAATTAAGCTAGAAGGCCATTCTGGACACAGGATCTGAGTGTACAGCCAACTACTGTACTGTAAATATTTATCAATCATTTGTTTTTATGCAAGTTTTAGTCACAATAAAAGGTAATTTTGTAAGGATATAGCTGCTCTCAGCTATTCTCCACCTTCAACTCCCTGCTCTCCCCCCCCCCCCCCTCCTCCACTCAGTACCTCTCTCACCACCCACGAGATTGCCACCCATTTCCACAACAAGATTGACGCTATCCGTAAGGACATCGTCAACTTGCAATCTACCTCCCCACCTAGCCTCCTCGCCCCCGTCACCCCTTCATCTCCCCCCTCCTCTGCCCTCACAACCGCACTGCCCCCCTCCTCTCCCAATGCCCCGCCCACCATAACCCCCCGCACTGCACTCCCTCAGCCCTGTCACTACTGAGGAAGTCGCCAAAGTCCTCTCAAAAGCCCGCCTCACTACCTGCCCCCTGGACCCTATCCCCTCTCAACTCCTCCGGTCACCCCCCTCTTCCCTCATCCGCTCCCTCACCCACATCTTCAATCTCTCCCTCTCTACTGGCGTATTCCCCTCCCCCCTAAAGCACGCGCATATCACCCCCATCCTCAAAAAGCCCTCCCTGGATCCCGCGGACCCCAACAACCTCAGACCCATCTCCCTGCTGCCACTCACCTCCAAGCTCCTTGAACGCTTAGTCTACGATCGCCTAAGCTCCCACCTTACAGACAATAACCTCCTTGACCCTCTACAGTCCGGCTTCTGTCCCCTACACTCCACTGAAACTGCCCTCCTCAAAATCACTAACGACCTACTCAACGCCAAAGCCAAGGGCGACTACTCTGTCCTCCTCCTCCTGGACCTCTCTGCGGCCTTCGACACAGTTGACCACCCCCTCCTCCTTAATAAACTACTCTCCCTTGGCATCGGAGATACTGCTCTCTCTTGGTTCTCATCCTACCTATCCCGACGCTCCTTCAGTGTCACCTACAATGGTGCCACCTCCCCCCTCCCTCCCCCTCTCTGTTGGGGTCCCCCAAGGCTCTGTCCTTGGACCCCTTCTCTTCTCCATCTACACCTCCTCCCTGGGCAAACTCATACAATCTCACGGCTTCAACTATCACCTCTATGCTGACGACACCCAAATCTACCTCTCCACCCCTCACCTCACCCCCACTATCTCCGCCCGCATCACTCACCTCCTAAATGACATCTCAGACTGGATGTCGCTACACTTCCTCAAGCTCAACCTCTCCAAAACCGAGCTTCTCGTCTTTCCCCCTGCCAACACCCCCCCCCCCCCCATCCTATCCATCATCACCAACAACTCCACTATCACTTCCGCCCCGCAAGCCAAAGTCCTTGGCGTCATTCTTGACGCGAACCTCTCCCTCCAACCGCATGTCAAATCACTCACAAACACATGCAGGCTCCATCTTCGCAACATTGCCAAGATACGCTCCTTCCTCACCCCAGACACCACCAAACTTCTAGTACACTCCCTCATCATCTCACGCCTTGACTACTGCAACTCCCTCCTCACTGGCCTACCCAAGTGCAGGCTCTCCCCGCTCCAGACCATCCTGAACTCAGCTGCCAGACTCATCCACCTCACCACCCGCTCCACCTCTGCCACCCCCCTCTGCCTCTCCCTCCACTGGCTCCCGATTGCCCAACGCATCAAATTTAAACTCCTAACCCTGACCTACAAAGCCGTTCACAACACACTGCCCCTGACTACCTCACCAACCTTATCACCAAGTACCACCCTACCCATACCCTTCGCTCCTCACAGGACCTCCTTCTATCCTGCTCCCTGGTCTCCTCCTCCCATGCACGACTGCAGGACTTCTCCAGGTCCTCCCCCATCCTCTGGAACTCACTGCCCCAATCCATCAGACTGTCGCCTTCCCTATTCACATTCAGGCGCTCCCTCAAAACCCATCTCTTCAGGGAAGCCTACCCCACCCTCACCTAACGGCCATCCTCCCTCATTCCTCCCACCACTTCATCCCCCTCAGCCACTTCCTACTGTACCTTTTACCCCCTCCCTCCTAGATTGTAAGCTCGTAAGAGTAGGGCCCTCTTACCCCTCGTACATTGTTTGTTGTTGTTGTACTGTGCCATGTATTGTCCCCCCCTATTGTACAGCGCTGAGCAAACCCTTTGGCGCTATATAAACTCGTAGTAATAATAATAATAATAATTAGATTATTCGCAGTGGCGTTTGCCTCCTAGGCCGGCACTAGCGCCGCCTAATTGTGAAGACGTTCCAGGTTAAGGTCATAGTAGATGTGTTCTGTGATCAAAATGTAAAATATTATTCAAAAGAGGGAATATTGTAAAGGAAATTGTACATTCTGTATAAAACTGTATTCTATTTTATATTCAATGCCTATGTATTTGCAGACGGCACTAATAATGTCTTCATTATATGTTTGCATTCTTTCAAATCCTGCTTAGAAATTAGCCTGCTTATGTATTGCCCACTTGTTACTATAAAAGTACAATTGCAATATTCATGTGATACGTACATAACCATGTGTATAAAAAAAAAAACAAAAAAAAAAAAAAAAAAAAACTTCAGTTGCGCCAGATGAACAGAACAGTTATTTGGAAAGATGCTGAGTATCTTTCTGTGTCTGTTCCCTACTTCAGTAGTTATTAATTTGGAACCATTAATCAATATTAGGATAGAAGTTGCACATCTATAAAACTTCAGTGTTAATTTCCAGAACAATACCATAGAGGTGACCAGAGCTGTTCCAGACTTTGATTACCTCTATGGTCAGCCTGAGTGGCTAGTTACTCAGCTCTGAGAAAGGCACGGAAGGCGACTGGAGAGGGGGTGTCCAATCCCACTGGATTGCTTTTACAAGAAAGCCATCTGTCGGCCCTAAAAAAAACAATACCGGGATGATGCCTGTAGCTGCACGCATCATTCCAGTATAACCATTTGAAATCCAGCGATGTATTTGTACTGTAAACCCTGCATCCCAAAAGGAATACAACTGTTACTGCAACTGTGGTGTGAGCTGGAGTTGGATGTCCAAAGGTGTCTCTGCTGCTCCTTCATCCAGAGCGAGGGCACTCTAATATAGGAAGTGTGTTACTAGCCAGATCACCAGGTGAAAACAGAGGGGGAAAAAAAGAAAACAAATGCAGCCACCACATCTAAGGATTGGTAAATTGCAATATATTACATTTTAGGTTTTGCCATGCAGGACTCCTGCAGACTGTCAGTGTGAACTGTCACAGCCTGTACATAATACAGGCAGGCAGTTTCACACTAACATAAGAATCAATGAACTACCACAGCGTTCAACAGTGCCGTGGTAGTTCACTGAGAACTACAAGCCAACAGTCAAAAAGGCTGTAAGGGACTTGTAGTTTCCCATATCCAAAAACCTGTGAATGAATAATATGGTTGGGTGGGCGGAGCTTTGCACGGCCGTGTTTTTTTTCTTTTATTGTGACAGCTAGCGAGGGAGAAAATCCTCCACTAGCTGACACAACGGGGATTGGGGGAGTGCGGGGGCTGGTGATACAGTAACATGTTACACCCTTAGTTTTTCAAGTGTTAGGTTTTGACTTGCCTTACTCTTGAACGTTTTGGATTTACCCTTTCTTCCTGTATTAGAGACAATGGTCACAAACACAGGGTTGAATCCTCTCATGCCACAGCCAAAAGAACAAAAGCTTTTGCATATATGTTAAGTACAACTGGTAGAGCGAACAAGAGTCCATTCATGAGATTTGCAGCACAGCAATAAAAATATGAAGCTCCACTTGGAATTAAAGTGATTTTAGCATACCAGTATTCATTCAAAACTGAAATTTAGGTACGGACTGATCTTTAAAAGTATACAAACCTAGAAAAACATCCAACACACACCACTCAACTTCCTTTTTGTTCAATTTTAAAAGGCTGGCCGTAATAAACAAAGCAATTGTACAACACTGCGGGTTTACAGAATCTTATACAATCCCATAATGCATGTACAGCTCCACCCCTTGGTAACTATGATATTGCAACCCACCCTATCAGATATAAGAGGCTCTTATGGTTTTGGGTATCAGTGTCACAACAGAAGTATAGATATTGCACGCAACGTGGACTTGGAGAAACAGAAACCACATTACAAACTTTAGACCTGTTTTGAGAAATAATGACCATTTTACAGTCATTTAATTTTTTTTTTTATTTACAAAAATAGTTTAGCGCAGAATTAAATAGACTACATTTCACATTGTATATCTGTCACCTTGTAAGAACCTTGTGACAATTCAACTGAAGAGAATACTACATCTGTAACCTTGAGCAGTGTGGGGATAAAACATAATTGTGCACCTAGGTATTTCACCATGAAGTGTCACTTAACTTGTGACCAGAGTTCTTTGACCAATAAAAAGAAGATGCTATGACTGACATGTCGGTGAAAAGACCCATATATGGGTATAGCAATAAAATTATGTTCATTTAGACCACAATGCAATGTGGGCAGTAGAGGCAAAAGGTCCTGTGAATGGCCAATGTTGACAAAGCTCAGTCACTGTCAAATTCCTCTATCTTTAACTCTTCATCTTCCAAAACTGCTTGAGCTACTACAGGTTGAGGTTGGCTGGTTGGCAATTCTGCTTCTCCTCCTTGGCTGGAAGGTAGAAGTAATTCTTTTTATGTCCATCTTTGCTTTTAGGTACAGCATTATTACCACTTTCACTTGGCACATGGCTTGGATCTTCATCCTCATCACTGTCAGCATCTGCACCAGGATCTTTGTCTGTCAGTGCTTCAAGCTTCATCCTGGAAGAACAAGATTATAAGCACATCCACACAGCAGTAAGACCAAACCAGGTAATGCCAAAATTAATATGTTTAATATGCATGGCTACAGCAGATGGGCTAATTTTATCTCCTCCTTCAATGCAATAACCTGCCTCTACAGCACTGAACAGAGGATTTAAGGGGATGAGAGGAGCCTGTCTTGTATAGCCAACACAAGATTACAGAATTAAAAAAAATAAAAATAAAAAGTTGCTTTGAACTGTAAGCTGACCACACACTGAGCAAAATGTTGGCTGGTTCCTGAAGAACCAGTCAAAACTGGCTTCATGGGTGGCCCTGCTGGCCCCTTCCCACCTGACATTCTTTTACTGAAAAATTAAAAGAACAGGGGGAAAAATTGTTAACTGTATCCAATCTGTGGCTGCGTCCAATAGCCTAGCAGAAGGCTGAATGGAGAAAATAAGAAATATATAAGTACATGGACAACCAAAAGGTAGCCTTACATGGTTTGATTTTCTTTGGTTCTGCCCATTAACAGCATGGGTGGAGGAATCTCCACTGCCAGCTACTGTATTCAGGCAGATTCAGTATCCAGGGCTGCCTGTATACAATGACGCTACCAAACAGTGACTGCATCTGTATGGCTATAGTCACCATTCAGCCGATAATTTTTCACCTGTATCAGTCGAGTTTTAAAATCGACATTTTTTGAATTGGGAAATTCTTTTTAGGGTCACCCAAGGATGGCATTTCAGTGTCAGCAGGAAGACGTAAAAACAAAGTTGTTTAGGACATCCAAAAATAACCTTTTGTATGAGTGTATGAGAGCTATGAGAGACAATTAGTACAAATTATTCATTGCCCTATAGATAAACAGAACCTTACAGGAAAGATGTCATTTAAAATGAACCTGACATTGCCTAAAAAAAAGTGCAAAGGCTAATAATATAGTTGGAGAGAGCAGGCATCTTCTTGTATTTGCACATACACAGAACAATTGTAGTTTTAGCGATCCCCCCCATCCTTTACACAGCACTGTGCACTCAGATTCTTCTGCTCACAAAGTAACTACCATCTTTGCAAATAACAGTGATGCCACCTGTAGCTTAAGTATTCACCTCTCTAATTTTGCACACCCAGATATTCAGAGAGCAGTGCAGCGATTGTAGCAATTCCTAGGGGTGTGCGCTGACATTTAAATAATTATACTTTTATGAATCTTCTTGTACTTGCAAGTAACTGTGTTAGGCTTCAGATAAATTCCTGTGCCCATGTGGAAGCAACTGGATCCAGGGCTTAGGCCCCATGGGTCTGCAATTATGCCCTAGCTACCCCATCCTCTTTGAAATGTCAGAGCACACCTATTAGAAGTGCAGCAGTAAAGAAAGGAATTCAGAGTACAATAAATAAGCCCCTCAGTAGTGCCATACCCAATTCTGAGAATAATTACCTTGCAAAATGCCTCTTTAAAGGTAACCGGCCAACATCCTGAATAAATGCAATTTGTGCTGGGAAATAAAAAAAAAAAATTAGATGAAGATCAGCAAATCCATATTTTACATTATGTTTTTGTCCCGTAGGTGTTTCTCACCTGGATTTCTCAAGGGATTTGTAAGCTTTGCCAGGTATGGGATCACCTGGGTTTGAAGGCACAACGGTGAGGAACAGAAAATTGAAAACAGTTCTCTGGCTGCAAGAGAGTTTTCCTGGTACTGTAAAGAAGTAAATGGAGAAGTTAATCAGACATAATTACTTGTTAATTCTGTTTTCAATCGCTATGTAACTACTGTATCTTTATTGCAAAGCTTATTACAGACAGAACTACACAGGACATAACGTGCAAATGGCACTACAGTAAAACAATATGATTTCTGTAGCAGCAATGGGAGGCCGTACAGGGACCCATGACAGACTCTGGACCTGGCAGCAGCATGAGGAGGCGGTATATAGGGGCCTATGGCAGATTAGGGGCCTGGCAGCAGCTATGGGAGGCCCGTAATCTGCCAGCACCCTATGTCAAAAAATTCAACACACCAGCAGTGTGTGAGGAAACCTGAAAGTGGCACATGGCAGAGTGTGGCGATGGAGACAGCAGCAATGGGAGGCCGTACAGGGACCCATGAGAGACTCTGGACCTGGCAGCAGCATGAGGAGGCGGTATATAGGGGCCTATGGCAGATTAGGGGCCTGGCAGCAGCTATAGGAGGCCCGTAATCTGCCAGCACCCTATGTCAAATCCAGCTGTCAGAAAAGATGTATAGTTGGTTTTTGGGTTTGTTTCTTATATGGCATTTAAAAGTGTGCTCTATGTACCTACACATTTACATGATCTAACAAAGAACGCACAAGTACCCACAGTCCTGCAGTTTTCTTTGCCTCTGTGTTGATGTTTGGCAATGCGTTCATACACACACGTTACAATGAGATGACAAGACTCAGAAATATCCAGCATGAAAGAATATGCCAGCAGATCATTAAGACCAGAAACTTGGAGCCAAACGATATGTATTCATATACTACGCACATACAAAGTGCAGTTTAGTGATTCTACACACTTTATATACAACAATTTTTCACCAGCTTGAAGACACCACGGTAAAGCTTCCCTAGTAAAGCAAATTTGTTTAGTAGAGTGAATAGAAACAATTGCGATTATAAATAGTGTTGTTTAAACTTATTGTCACTCACTCAAGTGATCAGCCCAGGAAAATCAGGAGATTTCATTCCTTATACCTCATATCATCAACTACAGAGTTGGAAGCTTTCATTATTCTGTTACAATGCACACTGCAGATAAAAGCACTTTATTCACATTTTAATACACTGTGGCTGTAATTCAAAGGCTAGCGAACTTGTTAGAAAGCCGATTTGCTACATACACTAGTGCTCTTCCTTCTAGAAACAGTTTGAACTCCAGCCTAACCTTAAGTTCTGCACAGTTGTACAGGATACTCTTCTGTATTGTAAATGCTTCTAATGATTTTACTGCACACTGTAATCTTTTCACAAAGATTTAGAAGCTGCAGCAATTTACATAGCGCTTGCCTTATTTTCTGGCTACAGGATGCCCAACATAATCTAGTCCTGTCGTCCCTGACCTTACTGTTCCTGACCTGCCCATTTTCATCACTGAATTTCACTTCTTTCACTCATGGAGACTCAGCATCACATGTGGGTGTTACATAAGGTGCTCTGTACAAAAATGCAGCCTGCCTAGGAACCCACCAAAGCGCCAACCCACTGTTAGCATCAGAGCTCTTGATTGGAGCTGGCCCCTCACACATACAACATGCTTGCAATACATAGGGAAGCACAGAGATTCAATGATGGCACAGGGTCTAAAATATGGTATGTAATTCAAATCGGTAAGGATTATTTTGAAAATGTCACTGGCATGAGGGAGAAAGGAGAACCAGGGAAGGCAAATATAAGCAGAATACACTTCATAAAAACACAAAAATGCACACACCCAAAAAACTATATACAAATAATGACAGGAAACAAAAATATATAGGTTCTATTACACTGGAAGGCAATAATGTCTATATTTTGCTTTTGACCTGCATGCCAAGGATCATCCGGTATGGTAGGTCTAATGACAAGTCTGACATTTTTTTTTGGCGTCATTGTCAGCAATTATTAATAAGCAAGAGCTGACATTCACAGTGGTCTCATAATGGTACATCAGTTAGGAAATATACTGGGAAATACAGAAACAGGTTTATCTCAATGTTATCATATGTTAGTGATGGAAAAATAAACATTGCAGAAGTATCAGAAATAAGACAAAGAAATATGGTTCTCTTAATCCATTAAAAATGATGGATATGATTTCTAGTTAAAATCTTATTCTAAAGTCTTACATTTATAACCGATTTGAAGAATGATTGCTGAAATGAAAAAAACTCTCTTTAATGGGATAACATATAATAAAAAGAATTGTTCCAACTACCTTTTTATTAACCAAAAGCCATTGTGGTTTGTGAAGAGGCCGAAATCCAACTGCTGACTGACTGTTGGCAAAAGCCCTGGAGCTGTTGGAATGTATAACTCCTCTACAGGTCACTGATGAGCTGTATACACTAAGGGTTGTCCGAGACTGCAGGAAAAAAAAAAAAAAAAAAAAAAGAAGGAATAGGAAGCATGCATATCTGACCAGAGCAATTTTTACATTTTCAGTATGGGAATTCAGCAATAGCTTTGTCATCAATGAAGACAAAGTAATATATACAGTGATTTTTGGAGACAATCTAGGCTGTCTTGAAAAAACATTTTATTTTCTATCTAATCTATAGCCAAAACAAAAGTATAAAAAGTATTTTGACCAGTGTTCATATTAAAAACAGTAGGTTTACTAAACAAAAAGTATACATTTTATTCTATGATTTGTTCATTTTAAAAATGACCCTAAAGTGTTTTTTGTAAAAAGCATAGCAAAAGTATTTGTAAATGAAAAGGATAGGGGAAGGGAAGTAGGGGTATGACAGAGAGGGATTACTAATGAAAAAATGACAAGAATCAACACAAGGGACACAACATGCTAACTGTAAGTTACTGTATTTTTCGCTCAATGAGACGCACTTTTTCCCCCCCAAAAATGGGGGAAAATGTCTGTGCGTCTTATGGAGCGAATATGGAGCGACAGGTCCGGTATTCCCACCACAGCAGTGATAGAATACCGGGCCGGCCGCTCAGCTCTTCTGTGCTCCTCAGTCCAGCGCTGTCCACCATCTTCTCTCCCCTTCGCCGGCATCTTTAGTGTGGGCATCCGGCTGTGACAGCTTGCAGCTTCACAGCTGGGAGCCCACTGTGCATGCACGAAAAGTGCTGCGCTTTGTGAATGGTGCAGCAGTCTTCTGGGACCCGTCACATGTCCCAGAAGACAGGGAGGGAGGACAACTCCGTTGAAGTGGGAGCGGGTACCTGTCAAATTCAGGTACCCGCTCTCCCCCTCTGCTCCCCAAAGGTCCACAGTCTCTGGTCATGTCCTGTAGTGTGTCCGCAGTCTCTGGTCATGTCCTGTAGTGTGTCCGCAGTCTCTGGTCATGTCCTGTAGTGTGTCCGCAGTCTCTGGTCATCTCCTGTAGTGTGTCCGCAGTCTCTGGTCATCTCCTGTAGTGTGTCCGCAGTCTCTGGTCATCTCCTGTAGTGTGTCCGCAGTCTCTGGTCATCTCCTGTAGTGTGTCCGCAGTCTCTGGTCATCTCCTGTAGTGTGTCCGCAGTCTCTGGTCATCTCCTGTAGTGTGTCCGCAGTCTCTGGTCATCTCCTGTAGTGTGTCCGCAGTCTCTGGTCATCTCCTGTAGTATGTTCCGCAGTCTCTGGTCATCTCCTGTAGTATGTCCGCAGTCTCTGGTCATCTCCTGTAGTATGTCCGCAGTCTCTGGTCATCTCCTGTACTGTGTCCGCAGTCTCTGGTCATCTCCTGTATATGTCCGCAGTCTCTGGTCATCTCCTGTAGTATGTTCGCAGTCTCTGGTCATCTCCTGTAGTATGTCCGCAGTCTCTGGTCATCTCCTGTACTGTGTCCGCAGTCTCTGGTCATCTCCTGTAGTATGTCCGCAGTCTCTGGTCATCTCCTGTAGCATGTCCGCAGTCTCTGGTCATCTCCTGTAGTATGTCCGCAGTCTCTGGTCATGTCCTGTAGTATGTCCGCAGTCTCTGGTATGTCCTGTGTCCGCAGTCTCTGGTCATGTCCTGTACTATGTCCGCAGTCTCTGGTCATCTCCTGTACTGTGTCCGCAGTCTCTGGTCATCTCCTGTACTGTGTCCGCAGTCTCTGGTCATCTCCTGTACTGTGTCCGCAGTCTCTGGTCATCTCCTGTAGTAAACTGTCCGCAGTCTCTGGTCATCTCCTGTAGTATGTCCGCAGTCTCTGGTCATCTCCTGTAGTATGTTAAGTCTCTGGTCATCTCCTAAAGTAGTATGTCCGCACCAGTTTTTTTCTGTCTGTGTCCTTTCCGATCCCACACCCAGTCCTAAAGAATAAGGATTCACAGACAAGTTCCACTGCCACGTAAGTGCACAAAGCCACAGAATGTGGAACTCCAGTGTGAATCTTGACATCCCTACTGCAGGCAGCATATTATTCTGTATGTTACACTACACATAAGCTGGCACTTAGTGTCTGTAAAGCTAAAACTTTTTAATGTTATCATTTTGAGTAAAAAATGAGAAAACTTTAAATAGATTCAGATTAAGCTCCTTACATTCCAGTCCCCAGTGAGAACATCTGCTGCACTGAGGTACTCGCTGGCACGGACAACATCATCAATATCGGAGAAAAAGTCCAGATAGTTTTGGTGAAGATAGAGATTGAACAGCTCACTTCGCATATGTGATTTCTCTACAACAACCTGAGAGCGGAAACATACAACAATTATATATATATATATATATTCTACTATGACAAATATGCTAGTCTTAAAAAAAAAAAAAAAGTTGGAAAAAGGATGTCTGCCCAACCACTGAACAGACACACTCAACATCCAGTAATTGTTTTGTTGATCAAATTCATAATTATATGTGCTTGGTGCAAGCTTGTCTCTACTAAACAAATATCAAAAGGAATATCCCAAAATATTACACTGCATTACATAATCATATTGTTGGTTAGTGTTCATTTTATAGGATTGTTTTCCCTTTAGTCAAAATCAGATTTTTTTTTGTACCATTGTGTTATATTTGTTAACTGCATGCAACAAATCAAATCAGTACCCCACACCACCACCATATATTGAAATATCCACCACTTTGTCCAGGAATGCAGCAGGATTTCAGCTGACTAACCAAGTATATTCATTTAACCTAAGCAAATGTCCTTTCTCCCTCCTGAAAGTACCACTAGACAATTTGTAGAGATACTCGCAATGAAAGGAAAGCCATCTGATTTGCAATGCTAATGTAAGACTTTTCCCGTTTCAGTACAGAAAGAATAATAAAAAAAAAACAAAAAAAAGAACGAAAGAAAAAGAAAATAAATGAAAGAAAATAAAATAAAAAGGCAACAGTCGGGCGGTACAGTGGCTTAGTGGTTATCACTTCCGTCTGGCAGTACTAGGGTCGTTGGTTCAAATCCCAACCACGGCACCACCTGCCTGGAGTTTGCATGTTCTCCCTGTGCCTGCGTGGGTTTCCTCCGGGTACTCCGGTTTCCTCCCACACTCCAAAGACATGCTGGTAGGTTAATTGGATCCTGTCTAAATTGTCCATAGTATGTGTATGTATGAATGGGAGTTAGGGACCTTAGATTGTACACCCCTTGAGGGTTAGGGACTGATGTGAATGTACTATATATATATATATATATATATATATATATATGTAAAGCGCTGTGTAAATTGACGGCGCTATATAAGTACCTGAAATAAATAATAAATAAGATTAAAAAAAAAATTTGTATAAGTATACTGTAGGCTTCCAGAGTAAAAGGATAAAAAGAGTGCTGAAACAGTATCTTGTGGGCAGCTAGGTTAATTACATGTAGAATTATTCTGATAGGTATAGGGAGTGAAGGCAAGTATAAGACTTCCAATATAAGAAAAGAAGAAAAGAACAAATGCGGAGTCAAGGTTGGAGTCAAGGTTGGCTCACTCCTGGCTCCAATTAGCTCTGGGAGAAGTCATTAAGCTAGGGCCTCACATACTTTTTCCTCCCTGCACTGTGAATGTTTACATGTTATGTGCAAATAAACCATGGCAACATCTAATGTTTGTGTAGTATTATGTTCAGCAGACTGTGTTCTTCTATTGTTGTGACTTAGATGACGTTTCAGAGCACATTTTATGCCAAATTCATGCAAAACTCCACGTAATCCCAAGGGGTTCACATACTTTTACTTGCAACTGTACATACTAGGGCCAATTAGCCTACCAGCATGTCTATGGAGTGTGGGGTGAAACCACAGTATCCATAGAAAACCCAAGCAGGCACAATAACATGCAAACTCCAGGCACGTAGTGCTGTGGTTGGGATAATACATGTATCTTTACTATATAAAGCTGATTAGGCTCACCTCAGGAAGAACAAGCAATAGATCTCTATCATGTTGAGACAAGTGTGCTGGTAATTTCTGTAAGTTGGAGCCAGGGGTTGGTACCTCTCCTAAGAAATAAGCAGTTATGAGTGTGAGAGTAACACACACACAAAGATATATACATATATATGCACACATGCAACAGAGGGGAAAAAAAAGAAAATTGCAATGAGGAAATATGGAAGCTGCAACTCCTGCCTTCTAAAATGTCAGCTCCAATCAATAACTTCAAAAGTGTCTGACTCACGGAGCCAGAACAAGTATGAATGCAGGAGTTATGACTGTTCTTGCTGCATGCCTCTTCTGGGTCAGAGCCAGAAAGGAAGGCAGTTACTGCAAAGCAACTAGCACTTGCAGAATGAGGTTAGCAATGACAGCCTCCATATATTTGTCAGTACAGGTTACCTGTAACTCTAACCAAATATCATTAACAATGCTTTATACACAGTCACAAAGAGTAATTACAGTCCTAGAAGCTTCTGATAGAAGTTACCATGCTGTGAAAGCAAAACTCAAATTCCAATATGTGTGTGTGGATGAGCTTTTGTCATAAATGTGCAAGTATACACAGCATACTTACACATTAAAACTTAACCCTCCTATCCTTTACAGCCAAGGAGGCTAACATTTTACCCTTTGTTTGATCTGCAGTTACTGTGGTGCTGCATAAACGATCAGTTATGACATCAGCCATTTGATAGCTTGATAGTTCTGTTGGGAGCGAAAGCAACTGTGACAGTTACCATTCATGGCATGCCTTGAATGTAACTACCTTGGGAAACCGTTTAAATTGATGTGAGTAGTACACTTTAAAGCAGAGTACACACAGATCTATATTTAGCCAGTTCAGAAGGAACCAGTCTAATTTCCATCTGTGTGTGCTCCGGTTAGATCGCTTTTGTCAAACAGTCCTGCTGGAAAACCTTCTTCAATCAGTGGTGGGCAGCCAATGGCTGCAGCTGCAGATCAGTATATGTATTCTGACAGTGGAGGAGCCCCTGCTGTCAGAATACTATAGCACAGCAGGGAGGATTCCTGCATCCTCACTTGCATGGTTGAATGAAGAAAAAAAAAAAAAAAAAAAAACAAAACACCTAACAGTGTGTACCCAACTTTAGGCACACTCACCACTGTGTTCTCTACCCCAGCAGTGACAGGTCCAAGTTCCAGTCTTCACTACATCTGATACCATCTCCGCTGCAGCTTCTTCCAGACTCCTTTCAGTGGATGGAAATTAATATTACAAGCCCTTTGCATGCATGCATTCTATGAACAAAAACTCCTAGGAACATGGGGAAAGGTTTTTTGGGGTTTTTTTTTTTTTTTGCAAAATATACTTTGCACATCTCTTTTGCCAATAAACAAAACTTATAAACACAATTGATATATGTTTCCTGTTACAGACCAGGAAAATAATTATTACCAACTCACCAAAATGAATAAAGTGGGGCCCATAGACGGAATACTAGACTAAGACAACAAAAGCATGGAAACTTCCAAGAAGGGTTAACCATTAAAAGAAATTCCTATGCTGGGACCATAGCGGTGTTTTATCAAAAATGTAAACTTTGTTAAAATATAAAATTTAAAAATAGGATATACATTAAAAGTTCAAGATACTTCCACCAATCACCATTAAAAAACAAAATGACAATGTTGTGAAATGTACCAAGCAATTCAAAGCTTAATTCAGTTCCATTTTAAGTCTGCATTCTAGTTCTGGTGTATATTTAGCTTCACTCCAAGCTGATACACACATGTACGGTGTGGATGGAAGCTCAGGTATCTCAGCTAATTGATACAATAGTTGTTTATCGGTTCATGTCAGGTTTACATCAGGATCAGGACAGCATTAGCTCTAAGGATTATTCTGTTCACACATATGTGGTTTAGAAACGGTTGCCATAAAAGTCAATAGCCTGTAATCTGCACCTGAACCGGACCGCACTGCTCAGAATTCGGACAGGACTCTTTCGAAACGCACTCATTCCGTACGGAGTCTGCACCACCAGTGCACCAGACATATGTGAACAGGCACCATATGAAGCAATGTTTTTTTCACATGTCATGTGGATTGGACGCGGTTCAAACTGCATACAATCCGCATATATGTGAGCCAGCACTCCAAGTGATATCATTGTTCTGGAGCTAATATTCATCTCAAGAGTCCAAGAATGACAGCTTCCATCTAAGCCATTTAATTAACATCACTAAAGTAACTAAAAGGGTTACTCTACCCAAAAACACTTTTCCTCTTAATTTGGATAAAGGACAATAAGGTTTGATCCAGGACGGATCTATGCTATTGTCTATTTCCCCTATTTATGGTCCTATTGCGACAGTAAAGCTCTGCTCTGAGCTAGACTTCCAAATTTCTCCCCTTGAAGTGCTTCCTCTATTTATTCCTAATGTTAACCTACTAGGACAGAGGGTGACAAAAGTATTAAGCAGACACAGTAAATTCTCTAGAAAGAAATCAGAAACTCTGATTGCACTGCATAGCTTTGGCTTTCAATTTGGGGAAGAATTCCATGATAAAAGGGGAAGAAAAAAGTTGAAAGCAAAAGTCTCCTGAATATTTATGAATAGCAATACCTAATGTAAAAGAAAGCACTATACATACTGAAAACTCAATGCAGCCAAGACTAATTTGTATGTCTACTCAGATATATATGTACATGGATGGAACACAAAACTTAAAAATACTGCAGAATATTTAATAGATGAACGGATCTTACTTTTGCAGTAAAGAATTTTTCCCAATGCCCTAAACAAGAAAAGTGAAGCATCTTTTCCTCCAATGGCTTGGATGTCATCTGTGTTTTCCATACTTTTCTCTGATTTCCTTTTACTCTTCCCCTTGGATATTGTTTTATCTGTCTTTGTCGATCGACTTTTCTTTTTAGACCAAAAGTCATTTGATAAGGACGAGTCTAAAACAAAGCAATGGTAGTTACAGGTCCATTACTGCTTCCTTTGGGAAATGTTGACACACACACCCCCCTCAGCATAAGTTAGTACACCCCTTTGGAAAAGTAATGTTTGAATCAATATCACAATGAACACAAGAACAGTTTCCACATTTTTGCCAAAACTGAGTGTTATAGAACATTTGTTTAGCTCATTACATGAAAGTAAGGTTAATAATATAACTTAGATTAAAAAAATCTTCAGTTTTACTCAAATGAGTTGAAGTAAAAATACACCCCACAACAAAAACTGCTACATCTAGTATTTTGTATGACCTCCATGATTTGTAAGGACAGCACCAAGTTTCTAGGTATGGAATGAAAATGTTGGCGACATATTGCAATATCTATCTTTTTCCATTCTTCAAGAACGACCTCTTTTAGACCCTAGATGTGGGATGTAGAATGATGCTCAACTTCAGAATTCCCCATAGGTGTTCGATTGGGTTCAGATCAGGAGACATACTTGGCCACTGAATCACTTTCACCCTGTTCTTCTTCAGAAATGCAACGGTGGACTTAGATGTGTTTTTGGATCATTGTCATGTTGGGAAAGTGCATGAGGACCAAGGGCATGGAGTGATGGTAGCATCTTCTCTTTCAAAATAGAGCAGTACATCTGTAAATTCATGATACCATGAATAAAATGCAACTCCCCAAAACCAGCTGCACTCACACACCCCACCACATTTCACTGTAGGCACCATGCATTTTTCTTTGTATTCCTCACCTCTGCGACGCCATACAGTTTTGAAGCCATCAGTTCCAAAAACATTTATCTTGGTCTCATCACTCCAGAGTACAGAGTCCCAGTAGTCTTCTTTTTCAGCATGGGCCTTGACAAATTCTAGGCTGGCTTTTTTGTGCATGGACTTTAGGAGAGGCTTCCTTCGTGGATAACACCCATGCATGCCATTCCTCTGCAGTGTATGCCGTATCGTGTCACGGGAAAAAAACAAAAACAATCACCCCAGTTTGGCTTTCTAACTCTTTAGCTAACTGTAATGAACTTGCATGGCAATTTTCTTCAACCCTTCTCATCAGAAGACGCTCCTGTCGAGGTGTTAACTTCCGTGGATGGCTTGGACAACTCTGTGAGATGGTTGCAATTCCATCTTTGTTAAATGTTTGTATCACTTTTGCTACAGTATGCTGTCACCTAGTGGCGGAATTGGAAATTGACCTTCAATTAAAATCTTTTTTTCCCCCACACTGTCCTTGCTACTTGAATTGCAATATAAAAGAGGTAAAATTGCTTAAGTTATTATTATCCTTTAATAATTTATGACCTCTTCCTTATACCCTTTTTTTTTAATTAAATTAATTCTTGATTTCCTTATGTTTATTTTTTTACAAGTAGATGGATATTTAAATTCCCATTAGACTTTCCAACTGTTTCAGACATTATAGGCCAATTAGATCTTTAGACAGAATATACCCATATATCCTTCTGCAACTTTCAACTGGTAAAACCGCTTAAGTTAATTCTAATCTTTTAACAACGTTTGACCTCCTCCTTATATTCTTTTTGAAATTAAATTAAGTTTGGATCCCTCTAGGTCTATCCTATTATGTCTAGATGGATGCTTCAGGTCTATTGTTTCCTCTATTTGGATGTATGGGTCAATTAGATCCTTGTTAGGTTAAACCCATATATCCTTCTACAGCATTCAACAGGTAAAACTGTTTAAGATAACCTCAACCACGTAATGAATTCTGACCTCATATCCTCCGTAAAATTAATTTAATGTTTTGTTTTTCATGTTTATTCGATTATGCCTACATGGATATTTCATGCTCATTATATCCTCTACAACTGTTTTGGACGTGTAGGCCACTTCAAGTCTTTGATAGGTTATTTCCTTTTAGCTCTGCGAGCCTTCACATCCAGGGTGAGCCATTGAGTTCCAGATATACATTTTGAAATTTCTTAAAAAATCTCCCCTGAAGAAGCCCGTGAGGGTGAAACATATAGGGAGTAACTACAATTATATAATCAAGTTCGAATTTTGGTTCCACACTTAGTACTGAAATTGTTTTTATGTTTCTGTATTTCTTTCTTTGTTTTAAAAATATGAAATAAAATTATATATCTTTTTAATGTTTGGCATTCGTGTTCATGCTCCCTGAAAAACCCATCCTTTCTATTGAATATCATTAATTTAAAGCACCTGTGAAAGGTGAAGGAAATCTTGAACTCCTAACCTGTTGGGGGACTTAAGGACTGAGATTGAGAACCACTGCTACACAGTATCTTGATTGACAGCTATAAATCTGCTGGGGCCATTGTCATCACATGCCCACAATAGACTTACTTTTTATGGAATAACTACAACTAGCAAGAATGCCATACATGAGGAAAATCAAGTAACAAAGGGTTGAGTGTTACCACTCCTTAGAAATGTCACAACTGCCAAAAATGAAAGGACAGGCACAACAAACCAACCTAGTTATATGGGTAAAGACAGTAGCCATTTTGCTTATCAGGATAAGTCCAAGTTTAGAAATACACACTTATTTACAGGCTAATAAATTTAACACTAGAAGCTACAGTAGAAAAAAAAAAAAACATATTCTTTGAATTAAGTCCTTTAAGTTCACACACTGTACCTTTAAGTGCTGAGAACTGCAGACTATTAATGGCACTTCTGATATCTCCAGTGCATCCAGAGCACAGCAACTCAAGTGCTTGCTTGTCTGGAATAACGCATTTCCCCCCACTCTAAAAAAAAAAAAAAAAAAAAAAAAAAAAAACGACGACACAGAGCACAAAGATTGGTTACAAATCAAGCCATGTATAAATTCATCACAGACAGATACAGTGAAATAAGAAAAGCTGGGACACCTATAGAAGTACGTTATACATTGCTGGTAAATTTTCTATAAACCGAGACAGGCTACAGCTTTGTACAGGTGTAGATAAAAAAAATGATGGATTCCAAATTTTACTATTACATTATTAAATAAAGCTGTACACCAACAAATCCTACTGCTTGAACCAAATGCTGAGCACAATAATTATTACAGCCTTTACTATGACCTAGTACCTTGATGCTGACACAAATTAAGACTGAACAGTTAATTGCAAATTTTACTAGCATTAAAAATGAACTACGTCAGCTTCATAAAACTCTATTATTATTACATCGAGTTTATGTGTGGATCAAAATGTACCCAAATCCTGTAAAGATCAGTTAACATCTTACCATTTGCAGACACTTACCATAGCAGCCTCTGACGTAGCAATTCGGGTTAGGACTTTCATCATACTGGTGGGAGCAACTGGATTGAAACTGTAACATAGTAATATGTTAAATATGCAACTCCAAAATAACACTTTGCATTAGTTACTATTAAATAGGCCAAATAGAGCAATTAGTAGCAGTCTATTAGGGCCCTTTCACACAGGCGAGCAGATCAGGTCCGCCTGTCAGTTTTTCAAGTAGGCCTGATTGGAAAATCCATGCATTACCATGGAAAGGCGGGTATAAACTGACTTGTGTCTATTTACACCCACCTACCTCCAGGTCTGATCAGGCCCACTTAAAAAAATAAAAAATGGAGGACTGCATCCTCTACCATTTGAGTGGACTTGATCAGAGGCAGCCGGGTGTAAACGGACAACGGAGTCTATTTATTCCCAGCTGTCCACAGAGCAAAAGGGCGGTTTGTCCATGGCCACTCTGCTTAAACCGATCAGGCACAGATCTTTCATCTGCCTCGCTGCTCCAATCAGCAGGGGCTTAGCTTACAGATGCCCTGCTGATCGGAACAGAAGCCACCCGCATAAAACAAAACCTGCACTAGGCAATAAACGATTCATCTCAAATTTCACCACAGTCAAAATAAGGCAATGGATGTTTAGTGATGAATGTCACCAATTTAAACTTTACCCTTTTTTTTTTTTTTAGCAGAAGAGAGGAATTCTCTCTAGGCAATATTCTCTCTAACCCCCCCCCCCCCCCCCCCCCATTTCATTTTCCCCAGGCCTACTTGACTTGCAACATCTTTTTCATTTCAATCGACCACTTCAGACTTCAGTTACCTTGCTAATGTTTCAGGGCCCCCCCATGTACACATCACCGACATAATGTATATTTACCTTAATACAAAAAAAGACCTGATGAGTTTTTATTTTTAAAAATACTAGCTGTCTGAATGTCATGCTCATATTTTGGCTTCAATAATACCACTTTCAAGACTCAGCCAGGAATGGCACCCCACATGTTTTTATTGTATACTTAATTTCAGCTATGTTGACCTAGGTACCAAATTCACAACTGGGAAAATTACACAGGAAAACAAAAATGCTTAAAATTTTTTACCTGACATTACAGACACATAATTCATCCTGAATTTCCTTTGGGAACAACCGTCTTTGATGGCTATCACCGCTTAGACTGTCTGATATGATGAACACTAAAGGGCAACGTCCTGTTCTCACAAATTTCCTACAGGACAACATATAACAGTAAAAAAGTGACCGCTAGAGGGAAACAAAATGTAGCATTCATAACCAAGGAAAATTTCAGCTTACCTGAGAATATCATGTAAACTTGAAGGGTCTCTATAAAATAAATTAGGCATATCCTTCAAAAGAAAAACACAGAGAAACATCAAAATATCTTGAATGAAACAATTTCTCAAATCAGACATAATTCAAGTTAGATGCCCAACAATCTGAAAGTCTAGATTTGCACCTCAACTGATTTCTGCTGACAACAGACTAAAGTTGGTCATTTGAGGGGAAGGCAACACAAAAAAGGCCTAGAAGATGTGAAATGAGAAACAGCTTCCTGGTTTGGTGTTTCATGTCTACTGTATTTGTTACAGCTGTCATTACTCATATAAGCATTACAAAAAAAGTCAATAGAGGATCTTTTAATTTGGAAAAATTTAGGGCTAACAAAAAGACTTTGAAATTACTATAGTGCAACTAGTGCATATCTTTAAAGAGAATCTGTCAGCCAATACAAATCCTGCCTGCAAGGTTTCTCTATTTGCTTTAGAATCTAGAAATTCCTTGCTCTATTTTTAATTCAGGTTCACTGATGATTGACTCATCCAACGTCTAGGTCAGGCACACCCACATAATTGCACCCTATCCTGTAATATGGTTATGACAATTGTACTGTCACAAAGTCCTGACAAACTGCTTTATTTTTGCAAATTCTTGGTTAATTTTTTCTTAAGTTGGGGAAGTCCCGATAAAACAAAGCTCACATGTTTAATGAAAATCAACTCTGGGGATGTGCTTCCCCTACGCCACGCAGTTTCTCATTTTCTCTTTAGATGTGTTTACACTAATCAGTCATAACTTTACGACCCTACAGGTTAAGTGAATAACATTGATTATCTTATATTTTCTGCATGTTCTGTTTATATGTATGTTATATGCCGATGTTGTCCCTGAATTGAGACTACAGATAGGTGACCCGTTTTGTTGTACTACTGTCTTCTTGAACAAAAAATCTTAATAAAAATCTTTATGCTAAAAAAAATAATTGATTATCTTGTTACAATGGCATCTGAAAGTTGATGGGATATATTAGGCAGCAAGTAAACACACTATCCCTGAAGTTGATGTTAAAGGCAGGAAACACGGACATCACAGTTTTAGTTGTGTTTGGGGCAGCGTAGCAAAGACCAATCAGGTTGCCCATGCAGACCTTTGTCCACAGACAAAATCACCTACAATGGGCAAGCGAGCATCAGAACTGGACCACGGAGCAATTGAAGAATAGAAGGTGGCCTGATCTGATTAATCACGCTTTCTTTTACATCATGTGGATGGCCAGTTGTGTGTGCAATGCTTACCTGGGGGAAGAGATGGTACCAGGATGCAGTATAGGAAGAAAGCAGGCCAGTGGAGGCAGTGTGATGTTTTGCACAATGTTCTGCTGGGAAACCTTGGGTCTTGCCATTCATATGGATGTTACATGACACAAACCACCTACCTAAAAACATTGTTGTTGACCAAGTAAACCCTTTCAGGGAAACTGTATCCCCTGGTGGCATTGACCTCTATTAGCAGGAAAAGGCAGCCTGCCACCCTGCAGAACAATTCAAGAATGGTTTGAGCGGCACAAAAAAAATTGAGGTGTTGACTTGGCCTCCAAATTCTCCATACCTCAAACCAATTGAGCATCTGTGCCATGTGCTGGAAAAAAGTCCTATTCATGGATACCCAACCCCGCAACCTACAATATTTAAAGGGTCTGTTACTGGCAGACTTGGTGCCAGATATCACAGCATACCTTCAAAGGCCTAGTAGCATCCATGCCTTGACAGATCAGAACTGTTATGGCGGCAAAAGGGGACCTACTCAATATTAGGTAGGCAGTCAAAGGTATGGCTGATCGGTGTATACAACTTATTTAGCTGCCATGTTAGCCTTAAATGGACTCTTTAAAGCAGACCTCTAGCCTGTTGTTTTGTCACACTGCCTCTGGTGCTTGATGGGAAACTGTGCTGCTCTTTAATTTATTCTCATCTCCTCCCCACTGTGTGCCTATGAATTTTCACTGTAGAGGATCACGACAGGCACACTTCCTGTGTGGTGTTACCGATGCTCCCACAAGACCCACTGAGAGTCTTGGATATGCTCTCTAAGGCTACAGAGGGTGTCAGTAATTGCTGTGGTGTCATATGTGGTGCATACAACTTTCAGAAAGCCAGCTTCATCTGGATGAGGGCAATCCTGCACCTGGCTTTGCTATAGTGACTGAGCAGTGTGATCTGCACTGAAAACATAACTCACACAGCTTGTTTCTTTCTTGGAGAGAAAGCCCCCTTCTTGTGCACACTAAAGGAAATTGTCTGCTGCTGACAGTGTACTGTATACTGTGAAGTTTGACATGGACTGCAAACACACGTTCCACACAGCATCTGGTTTATTGTCTTCTACTGTTAACTTTTTAGGTTTGTATTAGCTTAGGTAGGTATGATGTCTGCTGTCAAATACTGTTGATTGAGCATTGCTGTAGTGATGTGCTCCTTCCGACTCCTCCCAAAGGCCAGTGTAGAGCAAGATGAGACAACCAAGAAAGGTCATGTGATTTTTTTTTTTTTTCTCTCAGATAAAATGTTACAAATAAAATCAGAAAGCTACAGAGCAGGCAGGGCAGGGGGTATAAACAGACAGATAACTTACATCAACAATGATGAGCTTTCTATCTGTACAAGGTTCTTCTCCGAACATCTGCAACTTGTTATATTTATTTGCTCTTAGAAGAAAGTCATGAAACTGAACAGATTGAGACTGACTAGTAAAAGGCTGAAATCCCATATCTGTAGTGAAAAGAAAAAAAATATTCATGATTAATATTATTCAATTCCATTTTTATCATTATAGGTTGCTTATATTAGCAAAAACACTTTACATGGAGAATTATAAATACAACCTAGAAACTAAGGGACCAATAATAGAACTAAGGTTCTTCAACAACATGGAGTTAAAGAAAGACTCCATCATTAAAAGGAACCAGAACAGGCCCCAAGAGCGCGAAGGAACCCCATGGTGCCGGTCAGTACCTGTGCAGGGGCGGACTGACAACTCATGGGGCCCCCGGGCAATAGGGGATCATGGGGCCCTTGTGTCCTTGCCCAAACTTAAAAAAGCCTGTGAAAAAAAGGTACCAGGGGCATCTAATGGGGCCCCCCTACTGACCCCCCCTCGGCCCTTGGGCAGTGCCCGAGTTTCCAAATGGTCAGTCCGCCCCTGTACCTGTGTTATTTTTTATACTGGATCTTGCTTGAATTCTAGGTAAAAGAAGAACATGGGACCTTGCCCTCTCTCAAGGACAAGATTCCAACCTCTCCTTTGCCTTGTACTAAGCCCCACTTTGTTATTTAACCCCTTCACGCATAAGGGTAAAACAAATCTTAATGCATAAGCACAATTTTGCAACTTTGACATGTGTTAGCAAAACCATACATATAATCACAACTACTTTGTACATCCAAGTGGATTATACCTTGGTTTTTTTCCAGGACAAATTGGGCTTTCATTTGGTGGTAAATGGTAATGGATATCTCCTGATTTTTTTTTATTACTAAATGGAAAAACTAGTCCAAAATAGTAAAAAAAAAACAAAACAAAAAAAACAGCAAAGAAACATATTTTTTTTTTAATTTAGCTTTATATTTCTTGCTACTACCATAACCTACCACCAAAGAACAATCCAAAATAATTTCTCCTACTCCTGACGATCGCAGCAATACCAAATGAGTATTTGTTAGTAGTTGTTTGTACCCATAGTACAGCCCAGAACCAACAGTGCGCAATTTGCTTTTTTTTTTCCCATCCTGCCACTAACTGACACTGATACTAATTTAAAAATTAAAAAAAAAAAAAAAACTGACCCTAACCTTTGACCCAAACACTAACCCTGGTACAGACCTATTTTTTTTGTATTATTGTTATTTATTTTTTACACATACGTTTTTTACTCTCTGAAAGGACAGAGAGACATACAATGTATCTTCAGCATGAGCTGATCCCCGCTCTGCCATTATACGTGGCCTACCACTTTGTGGCTGAGTTGCTGTAAGTTCCCAGTTGCTTCCACTTTGTTATAATACAACTAACAGTTGAATATTTAGTAGCAAGGAAATTTCACAAATAGACTTATTGCACAAGTGGCAACCTATCACGGTACCACGCATGAATTCACTGAGCTCCTGAGAGCGACCCATTCTTTTACAAATGTTTGTAGAAGCAGACTACATTCCTAGGTGCTTGATTTTATACACCTGTGGCCATGGGGGTGATTGGAACACCTGAATCCAATGATTTGGAGGAGTGTCCGTGTGTGTGTGTTTTTGGACTGTTGAGAAATGGTTAGACTGATTAACACTGGGGGTAGCCTGGAATGCCATCAGAGTAAGATTACCCAGTAGGGTGTGTATAGCAGAAAGGTGCATATCAGGTCTTCACTGGGGAGAGGATTCACACATACCCAACCTGGTGATGCGTAGATTAAAATGACTAATGTACTGACCTGAAATAAGATCAAAGGAACCAGATGTGAACTGGAATGTTGACCTGGGTCAAGGCATTTTGATCACAGGGTGCCACTGCCCCCTAGTGGAGGAGAGCAACATACTTCCTGGAGGATGGTCGGGGTAATACCATGCCTCCTGGTGATTAGGGAGGACAGCCCCTTTATAATTTATGGATTGTTGTTCATTGGACAGAAGACTACACAGGGCAGGCAGAGGGCGTTTGTGTGAGTGCTTTAAAATGTGAGGGCCAACAATGAACTGCCTCTATATCTTCCTGAAGCCCAGCCATGATACCTAACTTTGAGGAAGAACTTGCGTAACATATCATCTCTGCTCTTTCATTTCCATGTGTTATGTAATATTCCTTTAGATTTTGGTTAGGGTTTTACTTTCATTGTAATTAAATAAGACCTTTGCCTCTTTGAGCACTGCAGTTATTTTTATAGCCAATATAGTTTTTATATTATCACCATTAATAAGATCAGAGCATTGATAGACTAGCTAATTATAGGAATAGACAAGATAGTACATATTTATTATTTACGTAGGGGGAAGCTGAAACCACCCCCCTATTTATGCATAACCACCATCTTCTTCTGGGACTTGACTCTTTACCCATCTTGATTGGCTGACCAGGGATGACGCAACTCCATGTGCGCCAGCGCTCAAGTAAAAGATGTTCAGATGCAACCCAGTGTACAGACATAAACATATAGAGTCTCTTATGCATTAAAAGCCTACTTGCTAGCAATTTTTCTAAAAACGTCTTTAGTTTTGCTTTAACTGTCTAAAACAAGAATTCAGTGAGCACACAGACTCTCATTTATCAGCTGAATGACAGGGAGTGGGGTTCGATGTTAAGATTGGGGGGCCTTAGACTTACCTGGGCAAATTGTTGAGCTACATATACTTCCTGGGCCTAGGATCCAAAAGGGGCTAAACTGAAGTCCAGAACAGAAACAAAATACACTTTTAGGCCAGTTAATTTTGGCTCTATAACCTCCGACTCTGTGGTCCGTTTCACACTGTGAACATGTTGTTTACAACCAGAGGGCAAAATAGATAACCCTTATGTATTTCTGAACCTTCACTGTCCAATCAGAAGTATGGGCCTAGATAAATTTTAAGAAAGAAAAATGTCCTCTGCCAGTCTTCCATTAGATTGGTGGGAGCAATTACAGTTATTTCAAGAAGATTTGGTTGTGGATCTGTACACAAATGCTTGCAATGTTAAGACATTGGAATCCTGATATTTTTCCTGGGAGTTTGCCCATATCTACAGTTACACATACCATAGGCACCTGCAGGAGACTTCATATTTTTAGAACCTGTGCATGACCACTGCTTCTTCTCAGCATGTCTCAGTTAGACACATATGGACTAGAAAATCTTAAGTCCTGTGACACAACATGAGTTTTCCCCACTTTTCTGGGTAAGTTGTGATGCTAACCAGGAAGTGTAGTAGAAAAAGGGTAGGAATACATACTGAAAATGTACATCAGCTGCATTATCACTGCAAGAAAGGGAGTGAGAGTGACTACCAATATTTGTTTTTAAGAGCTCATTGCAAAACAATACTCTATTTTCAATGATACTAGGGTTCTCACTTTACATAATGCAGTACCATAAAGGCTTTCCTTTTTTATCTCACCACGATCAAAAACTTGTGCTGGTTCATCCTGTTTAAACTCTTGCATTACAGGATTAATCCATTCTTGCACTTGGATCCTCATTTCCTGGGCAAGCACTAGGATGGTTGCAGTCTTTCCACAGCCAGGAGGCCCAGTGAGTAATAAAACAGAGCCAACCTGTAAGGACATTAGAGAAAAAGAAGATGTTCACAAGAATAGTCTGTGATAACAATAAAAATTGAAAAAAAATTTTTTTTTTTATATTTTACACATACATACACACACATTATATATATATTACACATACACACACACACACACACACACACACACACACACACACACACACACACACACACACACACACACACACACACACATATACATACATATATACACACACACACACATATATACAAACACAGTCAGGTCCATAAATATTGGGACATCGACACAATTCTAACATTTTTGGCTCTCTACACCACCACAATGGATTTGAAATTAAATGAACAAGATGTGCTTTAACTGCAGCCTGTCATCTTTAATTTGAGGGTATTTACATCCAAATCAGGTGAACGGTGTAGGAATTACAACAGTTTGCATATGTGCCTCCCACTTGTTAAGGGACCAAAAGTAATGGGACAGAATAATAATTATAAATCAAACTTTCACTTTTTAATACTTGGTTGCAAATCCTTTGCAGTCAATTACAGCCTGAAGTCTGGAACGCATAGACATCACCAGACGCTGGGTTTCATCCCTGGTGATGCTCTGCCAGGCCTCTACTGCAACTGTCTTCAGTTCCTGCTTGTTCTTGGGGCATTTTTCCTTCAGTTTTGTCTTCAGCAAGTGAAATACATGCTCAATCGGATTCAGGTCAGGTGATTGACTTGGCCATTGCATAACATTCCACTTCTTTCCCTTAAAAAAACTCTTTGGTTGCTTTTGCAGTATGTTTTGGGTCATTGTCCATCTGCACTGTGAAGCGGCGTCCAATGAGTTCTGAAGCATTTGGCTGAATATGAGCAGATAATATTGCCCCAAACACTTCAGAATTCATCCTGCTGCTTTTGTCAGCAGTCACATCATCAATAAATACAAGAGAACCAGTTCCATAGGCAGCCATACATGCCCACGCCATGACACTACCACCAGCATGCTTCACTGATGAGGTGGTATGCTTAGGATCAGGAGCAGTTCCTTTCCTTCTCCATACTCTTCTCTTCCCATCACTCTGGTACAAGTTGATCTTGGTCTCATCTGTCCATAGAATGTTGTTCCAGAACTGTGAAGGCTTTTTTAGATGTCGTTTGGGAAACTCTAATCTGGCCTTCCTGTTTTTTGAGGCTCACCAATGGTTTACATCTTGTGGTGAACCTTCTGTATTCACTCTGGTGAAGTCTTCTCTTGATTGTTGACTTTGATACACATACACCTACCTCCTGGAGAGTGTTCTTGATCTGGCCAACTGTTGTGAAGGGTGTTTTCTTCATCAGGGAAAGAATTCTTCGGTCATCCACCACAGTTGTTTTCCATGGTCTTCCAGGTCTTTTGGTGTTGCTGAGCCCACCGGTGCGTTCCTTCTTTTTAAGAAATGTTCCAAACAGTTGTTTTGGCCACGCCTAATGTTTTTGCTATCTCTCTGATGGGTTTGTTTTTTTTTTTCAGCCTAATGATGGCTTGCTTCACTGATAGCGACAGCTCTTTGGATCTCATCTTGAAAGTTGACAGCAACAGATTCCAAATGCAAACAGCACACTTGAAATGAAATAACTCTGGACCTTTTATCTGCTCATTGTAATTGGGATAATGAGGGAATAACACATTTGTATTAATGTGCATAAAGAAGCCAAGGAAAGATGGGAAAAATCTCCAAAAAGGCATCAAATTACAGATTAAACATTCTTATAATATGTCAACAAAAGTTAGATTTTATTTCCATCATTTACACTTTCAAAATAACAGAAAACAAAAAAATGGCGTCTGCAAAAGTTTGGGCACCCTGCAGAATTTATAGCATGCACTGCCCCCTTTGCAAAGCTGAGACCTGCCAGTGTCATGGATTGTTCTCAATCATCGTCTGGGAAGACCAGATGATGTCAATCTCAAAGGTTTTAAATGCCCAGACTCATCTGACCTTGCCCCAACAATCAGCACCATGGGTTCTTCTAAGCAGTTGTCTAGAAAACTGAAACTGAAAATAGTTGACGCTCACAAAGCTGGAGAAGGCTATAAGAAGATAGCAAAGCGTTTTCAGATGTCAATATCCTCTGTTCGGAATGTAATTAAGAAATGGCAGTCATCAGGAACAGTGGAAGTTAAAGCAAGATCTGGAAGACCAAGAAAAATATCAGACAGAACAGCTCGCAGGATTGTGAGAAAAACAATTCAAAACCCACGTTTGACTGCACGATCCCTCCAGAAAGATCTGGCAGACACTGGAGTTGTGGTACACTATTCCACTATAAAGAGATACTTGTACAAATATGGTCTTCATGGAAGAGTCATCAGAAGAAAACCTCTTCTACGTCCTCACCACAAAAATCATCATTTGAACTTTGCAAATGAACATATAGACAAGCCTGATGCATTTTGGAAACAAGTTCTGTAGACCGATGAGGTTAAAATGGAACTTTTTGGCCGGAATGAGCAAAGGTACATTTGGAGAAGAAGGGGCACAGAATTTAATGAAAAGAACCTCTGTCCAACTGCTAAGCATGGGGTTGGATCAATCATGCTTTGGGGTTGTGTTGCAGCCAGTGGCACAGGGAACATCTCACGAGTAGAAGGAAAAATGGATTCAATAAAATTTCAGCAAATTTTGGATGGTAACTTGATGCCATCTGTGAAAAAGATGAACTTAAAGAGAGGATGGCTTCTACAAATGGATAATGATCCTAAACACACCTCGAAATCCACGGGGGATTACATTAAGAGGCATAAACTGAAGGTTTTGCCATGGCCTTCACAATCTCCTGACCTCAACATAATTGAAAATCTATGGATAGACCTTAAAAGAGCAGTGCGTGACAGACAGCCCAGAAATCTCAAAGAACTGGAAGACTTTTGTAAGGAAGAATGGGCAAAGATACCTCAAACAAGAATTGAAAGACTCTTGGCTGGCTACAAAAAGCGTTTACAAGCTGTGATACTTGCCAAAGGGGCAGTACAAGATATTAACTCTGCAGGGTGCCCAAACTTTTGCAGACGCCATTTTTTTGTTTTCTGTTATTTTGAAAGTGTAAATAATGGAAATAAAATCTAACTTTTGTTGACATATTATAAGAAAGTCTAATCTGTAATTTGATGCTTTTTGGAGATTTTTCCATCTTTCCTTGGCTTCTTTATGCACATTAATACAAATTTTTAGCTGGGGTGCCCAAACCTTCGATCCCCACTGTAACTCATGGATGGCATTGTGTCTCAGGACTCTTTTGATCACTGAAAACAATCTCGGACACCTGTGATATTTAGATTGGCAGGTGAGCCCAACTTAAGGAAAAACTACTAAAGGAGGGTGTTCCACATTATTAAGCAGAGCACCATTTTCAAGCAATATGGGGAAGAAAAAGGATCTCTCTGCTGCCAAAAAAAGTGAAATAGTTCAATGTCTTGGACGAGGTATGAAAACATTAGATATTTCACGAAAACTTAAGCGTGCTCATCGCACTATTAAGAGATTTGTGGCTGATTCAGAGCACAGACGGGTTCGTGCAGATAAAGGGACACATTGAGGAAGATTTCTGCCAGATCCATGCATTGGATCAAGAGAGCAGCTGCTAAAATACCATTGCATAGCAGCAAACAGATATTTGAAGCTGCTGGTGCCTCTGGAGTCCCACGGACATCAAGGTGTAGAGTCCTCCAGAGTCTTGCAACTGTGCATAAACATTCTATTCGGCCACCACTAACCAATGCTCACAAGCAGAAATGGCTGCATTGGGCAGAAAAATACATGAAGACTAATTTTCAAACAGTCCAGTTCACCGATGAGTGCAATGCAACCCTGGATGGTCCAGATGGATGGAGTAGTGGATGGTTGGTGGACGGCCACCCTGTTCCAACAAGGCTGCGACTTCAGCAAGGGGCCCCGAAGGTGTAAAGATGACCTCTGCAAAGTATGTGTAGTTTATGACTGACCACTTTCTTCCCTGTTACAGAAGGAAGAACTATGCTTTCCGTAATAAAATCATCTTCATGCATGACAATGCACCATCTCATGCTGCAAAGAATACCTCTGCATCAATGGCTGCTATGGGGATAAAAAGGAGAGAAAGTCATGGTGTAATCTCCATCCTCCCCTGACCTCAATCCTATTGAGAACCTTTGGAGCATCCTCAAGCAAAAGATCTATGAGGGTGGGAGGCAGTTTACATCCAAACAGCAGCTCTGGGAGGCTATTCTGACATCTTGCAAACAAATTCAAGCAGAAACTGTCCAAAAACTCACAAGTTCAATGGATGCAAGACTTATGAAGCTGCTATCAAATAAGGGGTCCTATGTTAAAATGTAACGTGACCTGTTCAAATGTTTAAAAAGTTAAAATGTTGTTAAAAGTTTGATTGAAATAGCTTTTGATTTCAGTAAATATGATGCAAACACAACAAATGACAATTTTCAGTTCTTTACAACCTATAAAGTGTTTTGAAACTTACTGTGCGTAATAATTTGGAACAGTGCATTGTAAATGTTTTATGTTTAAAAAAAAATACTGTTATCATTAGGAGGTTTGTTCAATAAAATGTGAATTGTACTCTTAATAGTTGATAACATGAGAATTATGCTGGCTGTTATTTACAAATTATTTAGGTAAATGAGAAAAAATATAATTTGCATAATAATTTGGAACAGGGTGTATGTGTGTGTGTATATATATATATATATATATTAATATGTTAACCACTCCCTGCCCAGTGCCATTACTACAGTGTCAGTGCTTTTTATTAGCACTGTTCACTGTATTGGGGTCAATGGGGATGTCAGTGACACCAAGTCAGTTCCCCCCAGTTTTAGAATGTCCACTGCAGTCCCGCTATAAGTCGCTGATCGCTGCCATTACTAGTAAAAAAATAAAAAAAAAAAATCACAGTATATATGCCGCC